AAAAATAAGTGCAATCAATAACATTTTGTGCATACTTATGTAAAATATATTTAAATTTATACAAGTATTGCAAATAAATGGGAAAAATGCAGACAACTTAAGTGGCCATTTCTTACACAGTCCAATTTTGGCAGATGGTCAGAAAGTAACTCATTTAAAAGCCAACATCCTGCTGTGTCTGCAATATCTTCAGGTTGAACAGCAAGAGTGTTAATATTACTAACCTGTCTAAGTAATTTGTCCTAACAGTAAATAAATTTGAGAATATCGCTTGGCATTTAACGAGTTAAGGAATATACTCTAAGTAAGTGCCGTCGTCTGATACCTTGCTGATATGTGATAGTATTTTAGATTCATCCTTCAAATAACAGGACATGGAATTTCACGATCCATCCCTTTTGGTGGCAATTCCCAAAAGGATCAGTTCGTGGGCCGTTCATATTATTATCTTTATAAAGGGCCTAGTACGGGAAGTAAAATCTGATACAGTACACTTTTAAAATGATCTTAAATTGTGGAGAGTGAAAAAAAAATGAAATTGACGCACGGGCATTTTAAAAAAAAGATGTAGAAAGGCCATAGACATGGGGCGAAAACAGTTTCATGACATTCAGTTTACGGCTGGGCACGGGATCTCAGCAGGAGGCAGGCACAACTGCACCCTCACGCTCACGCTCGGAAAGTAAACCGTAAAAAATATTCAAGAAGAACGTATGTGTAATCATTAAGGACGACATACACGCAACAACACAGGGTAATAGTCTATTATATGGATCACCACGGCAATCAAACCCGCCGAAATCTATTATACGGAACCGGCAGTAATGGGGCTTATATGGGTGGGGGTAAAGATTCCTTATATAGAACAGTTTGTAGTTCACAACACATAACTACCTGCTCATTTCATTATGGTAAGCCTCCTTGATTTTATTGCATATAATCGTGCATTGCAGTGCTTCTAGACATTATTTTTCTACGGCTTTTCTTGCGTACGGTTACTTTTAGTTCCATTAGTTTACGTTTCCTTCTTAGTTTACTAACGTTATTTCAATTTAATGTTGGTTCAGTTTTACTGTTGTTTTCGATTTTATTTTATAAGTTTTGGTTTAATTTTCACTTTGGTAAGTTTGCTTTACTTTCCCTTAGTTAAGTTTGATTTTTAGTTTAGTTTTTAGTTTATTGTGTAGTTTTATTCGTTTTATTTTACTTTAAATTTGTTTTTAGTTCCGTTAGCTTACTTTATTTAGGTTTGTCTTAGTCTAGTTTTATTAGTGATGTTTTGTTTATCGCGCGCATTTTGTGGCCAAACAATAGTTCATTTAAGTAATTCTTCCCATTATTTTATAATTTTATTCGCTGTACTATTTTAATTACTTTTTCTTTCTCCTGATGCGCCCGACCTATAAGATTCATAGTACTACCCGTCGCGTAAGACAGAAGCCTGGAGTTTCTTGTTACTGAGCTGTTCCATACAAGGAATCTTTGCCGGGGGGGCGATAGGGAGGCGCAGGGGAGATAATAAAAAACATTAAACAAAAACAGGAATTAGTAGATAAAATTATTATAACAAATTAATATATATCAACGAAAGAATCTATGGTAATTTAAAAATAGATTAAGATAATCAATCATAAATCGAATGAAACAATAAATTAAAAATAAAAATAAATTACCATTACAACCGGTCACTTATGACAGAATTCTAGGCTTTGGTTTTCGTGGTGCTCCATATAACAGACTCACCCAACGCAGTGTTTCAAAGTCTCCGCGCAGACAACGTCAACCATGAGCCCGATACGAAGAGACGTTATTAACTTGAATGCAGATCCTTTTCGAATATAGTGCAGCTGCGCCTGGCATGGGCAGTACATGCTTGGCGGCCATGACGGCAGAAAGATATAGTAATGATTGGAAGTGTACAGCGACGTGTTACATAGGCTGGTCATGAACTTCAAAATTTACGTACGAGTAGCGACAACCCGTATTGCATCTCTACCCCCTCCACCATAGACAGAACAGAGGACATCGAAATTTCAGTTGCTATGGGAACTTGATTTGGATGTCATGTGATAAATGACAGTAACCGCGGATTTTGAATACACGCTTGACATCTTGAAAAATAACTATGCCACACCAATAAACTCTCTGTCTTCTGCTCACAGAGGGGCATTGGTCAAATTATATTGTGTATTCTCCCATTGGGAGTGTGTTTAAGAGACGTTTGAATAATCACCTTTTAAAGTACAAGCTGAACTTTACTTCTAACGGGCTACTGATATAACTATTAATGTGCTACTGTCTTGATTTCAATAGATCGTTCTTTTTACATTTATTATGGCTCAGGCTGCAGTTAATGTATTATTCGGTGCTACTATGCAAATGCCGCCCATTTATACATTAATGGTCCCTTATTAGTCTGATGCATTTTTTATAATAAAACTGCCTGCAAAGAATTTGAAAATTTGTTTCTATTCACGCACAACTTTAGAGTTTAACAAAAAATGGAACCCTATTGGCGAAAACATGAAAGCTCACAAAAAAATCCAGCGAATAATATGTACCACATCAGCTGTAAAAAAATTCTGAGATAAATTATTTTTTAAAGATTCTTTAGTAGAGTATTTTGCTGACGCATTTCTTCGTCAATTAGTCCTTACTATGTTAAGTCAGAAAAAATGGACACTTTTGGCTGGTCTTCCTCTTTCCTAAAAATTATGAATAATTTTCAGCTATAAACAAAGAAGCTTACGTTCCTCTTTATATTAGAAGCAGTCCCCCTATCCCGTTGTCCCTTTAGCTCCCGTTCTACGATTATAAATGCATGATAATATGACCACACAAATACTAACACTTTACTCACATCGCTAGTGATTTTATTGTTGCGTTTATGAATAAATTATGAGCAAAAACTATACGTGATAATTTCTTTTATCATATTTCGAAAATTCAAATTGATCATTCGATGATGATCGTGTACACGATTACCTAGGGTTTGTTCACAAATAATCGGAAATACCGGCGCGTTTTAGAAAAAGGGCAGCCTGTAAGCGTTATTTCCGTCCATCCTGAGCTGCCTGGCTTAAGCGGAACTAAAAATTAATTTTCAAGTGCAGCAGGTATCATCTAGTTAAAGTCGCCAGATTAATGTGCCCTCCCCCCTCGAAAAAACAGCAAACTCAGATGCGAAAACTAAGTCAATGCAGCTATGAAACTGCCCAAATATAAGGTAAAATAGATTCGCATTCAAATTTGTAAATAAAATAACGAAAAAATATACTCTACACAAAAAGCGATATTTTCCGTGGAACGCTAGACGAATGAGCAGAACACTTAACGTTCTATGTACGTAAAAGCTATCATACCAGTTTTTATCAGTAAGTTTAATGAGTTAGGTCAAATACCGTATTTTCTTTTCCCGCAGGCTGTACTGGTAGCGGCAGCGAGTTTGGAAATGATTCTGACGTTTCATCTATGCACGAGAAACGATCTCAGAGTTCCAGTCGTGTCTCAAGCAGCCGAGAGAAGAACAAGAAGCCGCCTTGGAAGTACTGGGGTCGGAGTCAGATCCCTGACATCCTGGATCCGCCAGTCTTCGAGCCATACCAACCCATGCAAACGTTTGGTCCTGTGACCGTAGCCAAAAACATTGGTTAGTACTTTTTCTTGAAAACCCCGAATAACTTGAATAGGCGAGAACTGTCTTCTAATTGAAATTAAAAATCAGAAATTGGCATTTGGCTATGGACAGTTAGACGCATTACACCATTGGCGGGCTGTTTTTTGTGACGGTGGCCACAGTGAGTTCGAAAACTGCGTCGCCAATATGTTGTAACGGTGGCCAAGGCTGTAATATCGCCGTCTACGTTGTGCCCTGTGTGAGCCCCCAAGGGAAGAACACGTCAAAATGTGGATTAAATTAAAAGTCTTTGAGATAACCTAGTACAGCATACTTTAAAGCAGGCGAACTCGTATGCACAAGTTTGGACCAATTAGCTGGTGGTCACAAGAAAGGCATGACTTCATTGGCTGGGTGAGTCATGAGAGTTGGCGTGTTAATCTACCGCTTGGCAGGAGTTGGGCGCAGCGTCGGACAATGCACTTTTTCTATGTGGGCGGATTGGTTGTCTGGCTTGCATTAGAGTCCTGCGCCGCCACGCTGCCATGCTGTGCGCGTCGTTTTATGCATTCTGCGAGAGTGACCTGGCGGCCTCGCCTCGCAAGGGCGGCTTGCACTTTAAGTTAAGCTCCGCCCTAACACTCTTTACGTAGAGTGTGTGCCCTGATATCAACCAAATTGTCCGCGGACATAGGCATCTAATATTTTCTTACAGTGTGGCTGCTTTCGATCTACGCTCTTCGTTTGGAGCAGTTGACGAATTTTGTTTCTTAGTGGTGGCAAGTGCCATCATGATATTGCTTGTTTCCCACCTGGACTTCGGCCGATTAAATTTCCTGCAAATAAAACGCCGGAGATTATAGTATTTAAGTAAACTAGACAGTGTGTGTGGTTGAATTCAGACAAAGGATTTTCAGCGAAGTGACTGAAGGGGAAGGAGGGCAGTTAAACGGTCATTTTTTGCAAAATAAGGAAACTGTGCTGGTGGTGGTGGTGGCCGTGGTGATGGTGGTGGTCGTCGTCCAAAGACGCGATGTTTTAACAGTGGGCCTACTTTTTAACTGCGGCTTGACAAACGCGATAAATGGACCACACGTCTGGGAATTTTCCAGTCTCCATAAACCAGCCCAATATTTAACTCAAAGCTTTGCCACAAAGCAGTTCACTAGGACGGTGTCCTAGCACTTTTCATCAGTATGTTTGAGTATGATATCTGCAGTTTGTCTCCCGTTTTGCAGCACCGGGTGAATGGCCCTCAGCCCACTTTGCAATGGTTAACCACAACGCGGAATTACAGAGTGCGCAGAATGATTCCTCGCGAGTATACGCAGCCCTTCAGCAGATCCAGCCCCTCCCAAGCAAACTCACTGATGGCGGGTAAGTGAAAAAGCTTATTTAGTCTCTCCTTTATCCGGGTCCCACTTTTAAAGGGCATGAGAAGAATGGGCGACAGTGGCCTATGTATGCCCACTCATTAATCCCTACCGCCTACATGTTTTCCTACGAAAACGGTGTTTATCTGGTTTTGTGGGTGAGGAATTAAGACACGCAGTGCAATATACTTTAATAAATGCTAAATGCATTTTTAATTTTAATGTATTTAGAAGCGTTGTTAATGTACATCTGTAGATTTTCCTAATCTGTATTATCGTTTAACTTATTGCGGAAAA